CGTATGCAGTCGACCGAGGAAGCTTTCTGGATCCGCAAAAGGACAAGTTTCGTCTATGAGTCCGGTAAATAACAATGTGGATTGTATAAAAAGTCTGTAAATTTGGCGGTGTCTGGTCTTTATTTCCCCCTTCCCGCCCCTCAGTCTGTTTATACCGTTCTTGAAAAATTTTCTCCGTTTATGTAATTTCTTAACTTATGCGGATTCCAAGAAACCTGATGTGCCCACTCACTTTGCCGTGTTTAGTGCCTACGAGATGGTATGGGATCAGGGATATGCTTGTTTTACTTAAACAGGTACGATTTGGGGCACATGTTTGCAAGTGTTCTCAAGAGTTGAACACTAGTTTGAAGCTTGCACTATTGGACTTGTTGAAAAGTCCACGCGTAGCCGTGTGTCGGAGGTAACTTACTTAACTCCCCATCGCCGTTCTCACACAGGTGATTGTTATCATTGGTTAAAGTATTTACCTTCGCTGCCTTTTGCATGTTCCTTAGAAACTTCATAGGTATGACGTCACGCCATACTCGGGCTGTTCTTGGCCATTTCATTGTCCTTCGCATTGACACTAATACTCCTTAACGTTCTTGCCAGACTTCAGATAGATGCCTTAATGCATTTTAATTCCCCCTTCCTGACTTGTTTGCATAATGGAGTTTGCATAATTAAATATCCACGACATACGTTTTGCTACTCCTGTTTTGCGTAACTAAACTGTCGTTTATCCCTCCCCAGAGCCACAGACGCTGTACGAACAGATGCAGGCCATCCAACTATACACTCGCGAAAGTTTACTGACGCGCTGTCGTGCGTTGGTGCGGAATCTGTCAAACAATTCTGTCTGGCTCAGCCACGACCGCGAACTCTTCCATGACTTCGATAACTTTTCCAACCCGAAGGCCGTCTTAGGTCGACTTCTGTGAGTTTCTTTTGCTTGTTTGTTACCTTTCCTCTCCTCTCCTACGACAGTAGCTTCTGTGCGTAACCCGATGAAAACCTTTATAGAAAGTGGCTCGATTCGTCTTTTTGCGCACTGTGTTTTCTCGCTTATTGTCGCGGTTGCTGTACACGCCTGGAAATGCAAAGGGACCTGCTTGTCTGTTTACAGACGGCCGCTAGCGAGGCAAACTGCTTCTGAGCGAGTAGGCTCTCGGGCCTGACAGGTAATCAGTCGAAGAACTTCAGGCGTGTCTGGATAGTGATACGATAAACTAGTCAATTTTAAGTTAGAGGCTACAGAAATAGTACAGTGGAATCTCGGTTAATGAGTTTAATCCGTTCCGGCACCGAGCTCGTCATGTGAAACGCTCGCATGGCGAAACGTAGCCAATAAAACTGCATCAGTTCACCGATTGGCTGCAGGCGACTGAGGGCAACGCCCTGATAGTCAGGCTCAACGGCGGACACGGGCACACAAACACACGCACCATCAACTCGTTAAGTGATCGAAACTCGTCAATCGAAACAGATTTTCTGCCAGTGGTTCACTCTTTGCCTGAAATGCTCGTAGATGGGGCTTCCGTGGCTACATCATATCCTGTTGATCTCCATGACTATTCACATACGTGTTGGGAACTCTGCAGCCGAGTAAACCAGCACTTTTGCTGCTGCTGCTGCTACTGTTGCTGCTAGTGCAAACAACAAGACTAGGCTAGTAGGTTATTCTGCTTCTCTATTTTAAAACTTCGTTTTTTTCAAACGGCTCTTCATTTTCCTCTTTCTACTGCGATGGCAAGATAGCTGTTTTCACTCCCCCCCGCCACCCGCTTACCCCAATAGGTAGCTTAAACGCAAAAAGTAACTCTCGTGTCACTTGAGGACGTGCTCCGCCCCCTGACGGCGTTGCTGTCATTGTCTCCTGCCTAAAAAAATTATGCGACGGGCAAAATACACGTGGGCTGAAAATAGATTTGAGGAGGAAAGTTAACAGTCCCAGAACGCTGACTCCCAACGTCTTTTAACCTTGTTCCTCCTCCTCCTCCTCCTCCTCCTCCTCCTCCTCCT